CCCCGCGCCCCCCCCCACTCTCTTGACTGGGAGCCTTCCGAAATCCGAGCCCAAATCTCCTCCCTCAAGCTGGGTATTCTCCAGCCTGAGGAACTAAGTGAGCTAGCTGCCTCTGCACTGTAGCATCTTCCTGACCAGTGTCCCGCGCATTTCTAGATATTCGGAGCTCCGGAACCTCACCACCCAAGGCAGAGCTATTGGCGCGAACCAGGGCAGGAAAGGAGACTGACGGGCTGAACTCTCCGGACTTCTGACTGGGGAGAGGAAGGAGAAGGCTACCAGCAGCCGAAGGGAGGGCCCACGTGGTGTGGTGGATCGCTGCAGAGGGGTACCCGGGAGTCCATCCAGCCCATCCAGCCCTGTTATCTGTCCCTTGAAGCAGAAGCCCTCTCCCCAAAGACATTCAGCTGCCTGGGAGGAGGGCCCGCAGGGGAGGGGAGAGGAGAGGGCGCAAGCACTGTGGGGGCTGGGAGAGGCTGGAGAGGATGAGGGCCAGAGGCCAAGGGGAGAGGAGCGGCTGGAGCAGCCCGGGAAGGAAACCCATCCTGCCCGCGACACCCGACTGTGTCTTCTGTTACCAACCGAAAGGTGCTGCCTCAGGAAGAGGTGATCGGAGCCGTTGAGAGCAGGCGGTCACGTGAACAGAGCGAGCAAGAGAGAGAGAGAGAGAGAGAGAGAGAGAGAGAGAGAGAGAGAGAGAGAGAGGCGGACAGACAGACAACAAAGAGCCCAGAAAGGGAAGCCGACACGGACAACGAGAGAAAGCAGGAACAGGAGAAAGGAGGGGTGGAGGAGCATGGCCCGCGGGCCTTCTCCCCCCTTTTCCTTCTCCCCACCCTCAACTCTCTGGGTCTTACACTTGAGGGGCGTCTAGTGACCAAATGGGGGCCAGAGGGTCTATTTGCCTACCTAAGGATCCCTTTCTTACCCCTCTCTCACTCTGTCCACTAGGTTTGACACTTCCCCACTCCCGGAACAACAAAATGATCTGTAATTGGGCCTGGTAAACACTACTGCCTTTTAGCTTGCAAAATACAGGCAATTGCCTGTCATCTGCAGGGGGCCCTCCTCCCTCCCTACTCTTAGAATCTGAAATCTCCCAGACCTTTAGTGGCCCTCTCAAGTCTCCTGGGACATGGGACCAAAGGTAGGCAGAGTTCTTCGAGCAACAACAAACGAAGCTTTGGGTAGGAGTCCACGCGGTGCTAAGGGCAAGGACCTTCTGAAATAGACAAAACACCCAGCCTGCCTTCTGGAAGCCTTTAGTCTGAAGGGAGAGGGAGAAGGGGGTCACGGATAGGCAGAAAAAGCTGACTGTGAAAGGGGCTATTCCTAGTGCCAGAGGGAATATGACAGAAGGGGAAATACCAGAGGAACTGGAAGGCTTCTTGAAGGAAGTAGGATTTGAGCAAGGTGGGAGACAAGAGTTCTGGATTGCAGAGGACAGAGGTAGGGGACAGGACTGTTCTGAGCAGTAGGCTGGAGGGGAGACCAACTCCTTCTAGCTGAACCTTCATTGATTCACAGTTATAAAGGTAAATATGTCATTTTGAAACAAACTGAACTGTAAACATTGCTATTTCTCTTTATCTAATTTCAGGCCCTATTGCTGGCCCCTTATTGGTGCTGATTACTGGGAATTGGCTATGAATTTCCAAAGTGCTACCAATTCAATGAAAACTTTGCTCAGCCTGCTTTTTCCATTGAGGAAGTGCAGGCCAGGAGGAAATGAAATCAATATCCTGTCCCTGTTGCCCCTCTCCCAGACCCCCCACCCCCCCAACCCAAGGATAAGAGGTGACCACCCACTCATTGAGTATGACCCAAGGACACAGAGGCTAGGCCTAGCATTGCCCTCCTCTCACCACACATATGACTTTACCCAGTGGGATTGGACAGCAAGGGCAAGGGCCTCTAAATCCAGATTCTGGGTCCTTTTGAGCAGGTCAGGCATTCCTTGGATAGCCTATAAGCCTCTTGACTTTTTTTGAGACAGGGTCCCTTTTTGAAGCCCTAGCTGGCCAGGAACTTGCTGTGTAGATCGGGCTGGCCTCAAATTCACAAAGATCTGCCTGGCTCTGCCTCCCAAGTGCTGGGATTAAAGGTGTGTGCCAGCCCTTCCTGCTCTTCTTGCTGGTCTTAAACATATGAATTACATCATCCTTTATCCTGCTTGGTTAACAAAATACATTCAACTTACTGTTTATCCACAGGGGGTTTCCCAAGGCCTCCAAGAACCCAGGATCTCCTTAACCTTAACAGCCCTTCTTCTGTCTGAGACAGACTGCACTAGAATTTGGGGTCTTACAAACATGGGGATATTTCAGTGCTAGTGTGGAGTGGGGTGGGGTGGGATGGGGCAGAGGAGGAAATGGCAGCTACAAGCCTTGGGTGGCAGGCTTAGAACATGGAATTTTCAAGGCTGGGATATCATTTTGAGAAATGGCTGGCTGGGTTGCTCATGACAAGAAAATCCAACAAAGACTGCAGACTTAATAGCACTCTTCTATCCCCTCAGCACAAACATTTTATGATTGCTACTCACTTATTCCATCAGTCTTTTCTTCAGCAAACATCTATTCATCACCAAGTGCCCTTTTATGCTCATGACAAGGCACAGAGTACTTCTCTACCAGGGATTTCAGCTCTAGTAAGAAAGACTTAATAGCCAGGCATGGTGGTGCATACCTTTAATCCCAACACTCCAGAGATAGCAAGATGGATCTCTGTGAGTTCAAGGCCAGCCTGGTCTACATAGCAAAGTTCCAGGGCTACACAGTTAGTCTTTAAAAAAAATCACAAATTCTAAGGAGCAGGAGAGAATGCTTCCATTTGTTCATTGTTGTTGTTGTTTGAGACAAAGAAAATGAATCACTGTATAGCTCAGGTTAACATCAAACTGCAGATCCTCCTGTCTCAGTCTCCTGAGCTTTGGAACGTCAGGTGTTTGCCATCATACTTTTGCTTTTGTTCTTTTTTTTTTTTTTTGTGGGTAGGAGGAGGGTAAGATAGGGTCCTGTGTAGCTCAGGCTGGCTTCAAACTCCATATGTAGCTGAGGATGACCTTGAACTTCTGATTCTCCTGGCTCTACTTTCCAAGAGCTGGGACTATAGGTATGCAACATCATACCTGGTTTATGTGGTGCTGGGGATGGAATCCAGGGCTTTGTGCATTCTAGTCAAACGCTCTACCAACTAGGTTATATCCCTAGCCAAAATATAATTTTTAATTTATAATTTTATTTATACCACTTATGAACTATGTGGATTTCTTTTGTGTGTTTATGTTTTTTAAAATATTTTATTTATTTTTATTTTATGTGTATCCGTGTATTGCCTGCATGTGTATAAGTAGGGCCTCATGCAATGCCTGTGGAGGTCAGAAGAGGGCATCGGATCCCCTGGAACTGGAATTACACATGGTTGTTAGCTGGGTCCTCTGTAAGAGCAGTCTCTGCTCTTAACCGCTGAACCATCTCCCCAGCCCCGTGCATTTCCGTTTTTGAAACAGGGTTTCACTCTAGCCCAGGCTGGCCTGAAACTCATTATGTAGTTCAGGCTGGCCTTGAATTCATGGCGATACCCCCTTACAAATGCTGAGATTAGAGATGTGAGCCATCACACTCAACTAGCTGTGTGGATTTTAATTTAGGGAGCCTCTGGGCACCTCAGTTTTCTCATCTGTAAAGTAGGATTAATTGTCACACAAGGTCAGTAAACAAAGACATGGTTATAATTTATGCAAAAGTCAAGAACAAAGCTTAGTTTTCAACAGTTTCTTACTATTTTTTAGGCATATGATAACATAGCCATTATCCAAAGACAATCAACTATTATTAACCTTTTAGTACATTTTCTTCTGGCTTTTCTTTTGTTTCCTTTTTTTTTAAATTTTTAATGTGGAGCCCAGGCTTCCCTGAACTCTCCATCCTTCTGTGCCAGCCTCCCTAGTGCTAGGATTATGGGTGTGCATCACTATTCCCAGTTTTTTTTTCTTTTCCTTTATTTAAAATTTTTTATTTATTATTTTTATTTTATGCATATCAGTGTATTGCCTGCATGTATGTAAGTGCAGCTGTGTCATGCTATGTCCGAGGAGGTCAGAAGAGAGCATCATATCCTTTGGAACTGGAGTTACAGATGGTTGTTAGCTGCCATGTGGGTGTTAGGAACTGAACCTGAGTTCTCTGGAAGAGGAGCCAGTGCTTTTAACCACTGAGCCATCTCTCTAACCCCCCCCCCTTTTTTTTGTTTGAGGGGGGAGGCAGGATCTCTTGTAGCCCAGGCTGATATTGAACTCATTGTATAGCCAAGGATGATCCTCCTGCTTCTGACTTTTCACTGGTAGGATGGCAGGTATACATCACTGTTACTGTTTTTGTTTTGTTTTGTTTTTAATATGATGCTGAGGATTGAACCCAGGGCTTCAAGCATATTAGTCAAGCATTGTTCCAATTGAGCTACATTCTTAGCTCTTTGGTCATTTTTAAGTGCATATTTTCCCAACAAAATTTGTTATTAAACTTAATACATAATTTCATAGCTTGCTTTTTTTTACTTAAAATTATAACAGTTAACTTCCTTCTGTTTTTTTAAAAAAAGATATTTGTAAACATTATCTTAGTGATCACATAATTGCCCATTGTGTAGATTCCTGTTGCTTTTTCAAAGTTCACAGGCCCACTGTTTCCTATGTTCTTTACCCATGACCACCTCAGCATGACCACCTCTTGATGACAGAGGTCTTTGCCAAAGACAATTATAGAACCACCTGTTTCCCATCGTCCACGTTCATATCCAATTATTTCTTAAGAAATTGATTAGGATCTGTACTTTTACTTAGACATTCCCACAGATGTCTGTCCTTATACTTTTTAAAATTAATTTTTAACTTAGCACTCAAAGGGACAAAAATATTGACTGCTTTATAAATTTGCTTGCCATCCTTGTGCAGGGGTCATTCTAATCTCCATGATATTGTTCCAATTTTGATATCTGTGCTACTAAAGCAAGCACTGCCCTTACAGTTAATGCCAGAGAAGACATTCCCAATTCTTTTGATATCATTCGTACCTCAACACAGACTTGGCCTCAGAGTACCATGTTCTTCTGCTCACCACCTTGCCTTTCCCCAGTCCCTAGCCTGCCCTCAGAGCCTATGCCAGAAGGTTCCTCAAGAAGTCCTTAGAGGCTAGTTATAGTTCTGCTCTACCAGCCAGAGGTGACACTTCCAATGCTGTGCAAAACTTATCTAAGTTTTTTAAAAAGATGTATTTATTTTATGTGCATGAATGTTTTTCCTGTATGTGCATATGAGCACCATGTGCATGCCTGCTGCCTGAGGAGCCAGAAGAAAGAATCATATCCTCTATAACTGAAGTCACAGACAGTTATGAGCAGGCATGTGGGTAACTGGGAACTGAACTCAGATCCTCTGCAAGAGCAATCTGTGCTCTGAACTACTGAGCCATTCTCAAGCCCCATTAGATGTTTGTTTTTGAGATAGGTCTCATGAAGCCCTTCAGGGCTGGCCTGAAACTCACTATGTAACCAAAGATGTCCTTGAAGATTCTCCTGCCTCCACCTCCCTCCCAAGTACTTGGAGCATTACCACATCTAGTTTTATGTGGTGCTAGGACCACATAGAATCCAGGAGTTTTGCATGCTAGTCAAGCACTCTACTAACTAAACTAAACTAAACTAAACTAAACTAAACTAAACTGTCCCCAGTCTGTAAACTCAGTTTTTGGTGTGTGAATGAGTGAATGTGTGTGTTGGGGAAGACTCTTGCTATTTAGTCCAAGCTAGCCTGAAACTTGAGATCCTCCTGCATCTGTCTTCAGAGAACTAGAACTTCTGGTGTGCACCACTAAGCCAGACTTGAAATGCAGGCTTGTTTGTTTTTAAGACAGGGTCTCCTGTCTGGCCTGGAACTTGCTATATAGGCATGCTGGCCACAAACTCAAGCAGATCCCCTTGGCTCCACTTCCTGAGTGCTGGAATTAAAGGTATGTGCTACCACATTCTGCTAAAGTCAGTTTATGATTTTTTTTAATTTTAAAATTTTATTTATTTTTATTTTATGTGTATGAGTGGTTTTGCCTGCAGGTATGTAAGTATACCGTGTGTGCAATGCTCTGCTAGGCCAGAAGAGGTCATTGGATCCCCTGGAACTGGAGTTAAGGACAGGTGTTTTAACTGTCATGTGGGTACTGGAAACTGAACCAGGGTCCTCTGCAAGAGCAGCCAGTGCTCTTAACTGCCAAGACGTCTCTCTAGCATCCAAAAACTCAGTTTTGATGTCACCAAAACAGTAGGCCAGAAGGCAAGCAATGTAGCCATTTGTCAGGCCTCAAAAGGACCAAGTCAGGAGGAAGGTTACAGCTGTGTGTTGGTGAGTGTGAGAGTTACAAGGACCCAGTGAGGGATTGAAGTAGGAGTGAGAGTTTTCCTTAGGCCATGTCTTTTTGCTTAGGTAAACTCCTCATAATTATGTCCTTGAGTCTCTTCAGTCTGGGATTGGAACTGACAAATAGATGGCTTACTACAGGAGGACCTAAAGCTCAGCAGGCATGTTCCTGAAAGGCAGCCCTGCATCCTCAATAGAATGAAGCCCTTAGATAGCCAGAAGGTTCAGTAAGGAGCAGGTAAGTCTGGGATTCCAGACCATGAGAAAATAAGAAAATCCCACTGGGGTTCTAGGAGATGCATGGGATCTAATCAACAGGATCATCCTGAGGTCAAGAGTTCATTTTAAGGGTAACTTATAGGGCTGGAGAGATGGCTTAGCGGTAAGAGCACTGGCTGCTCTTGCAGAGGATCTGGGTTAAATTCCCAGCATCCACATGGTGGCTAACAACTGTCTTTAACTCCAGTTCCAGGGATTTAACCCAGTTCTGACCTCCTGTGCATGACACAGGTACACTTACACTTATGCAGACAATACATTCATACACATAAAATAAAAATAATAAAATATTTAAAAAGAGAAAAATTATTACCCATTTCTCTTTTTTTCTTTCCTTTTTTTTGTCTTTTTGAGACAGGGTCTCCCTGTAGCCCCAGCTGTCCTGGAACTCACTATGTAGACCAGGCTGGCCTTGAGCTCACAGAGATCTGCCTGCCTCTGCCTCCCGAGTGCTGGAATTAAAGGCGTGTGCCACCATACCCGGCCTATTTATTACCCATTTCAAATCCATGGAGAAGAATACATTTTTTAATGAATGATTTCAGGATATATGACTATTTGGGAGAAGCAAGTTAATACCTCATGTTATCTGCCAAAGTAAATCCCAAAGTGATCTATCAGTTAGGGATTTTATATATATGTATTTTTCATTTATTATTTTTATTTTATGTGTATGAGTATTATGCCTGCATGTAGGTAAGTGCACCTGTGTTGTGTAACGCTCTAGGAGGACAGAAGAGGCTGTCTGATCCCCTGGGACTGGAGTTACGGATAATTGTCAGCTGCCATGTGGGTTCTGGGATTCAAACCCGGGTCTTCTGCAAGAACAACCAGTGTTCTTAACCGCTGAGCCATCTCTCCAGCCCCAGGGATTTTTTTTTAAATGGATGAGGATTGAACCCAAGGCCTTGCACATGAGCTACTCAGTCAAGTTCTTGGTTGCAAGACGCAGCAGCTAATCCAAATGTAAACAGAGAAAGATTTTGCTGAAAGCTAGCCAGGATCTCATGCAGACGAAATCCATGAAAAAATCAGAGCTGGGGATGTGGCACAGTTGGTAGAATGTTCCCCTAGTGTGTATGAAGTCCTTTGTTTGATCCTGGTATCCAATAAAACTGGGCATGATGGAACGTGGTTCTAATTCCAGCAGGAAGTAGAAGTAGAGTGATCAGAAGTTCAAGGCTATCCTCAGCCACAAAGTGAGTTTGAGACCAGCCCAAACAATAACAGATCCCATCTCAAAAACAAAACAAAATACAAACAAGCAAAAACTAAGGGGAAAAAACCCCTGAAGAATCAACCTCTGAAAAGGTGAAGGAAACAGGGGAAGGAGGCACAGTCAAGTCTATGCCACAGGCCTGACTTGCTTAGGATACCATGACAGTAATGTCCCTTCCAGAGATTTGCCACTGCTTTTCTGGACACCTAGACACCTGTAGCTCCAGGATTCATTGTTATTCTCCCCTGAAGCACTGTAATGCTCAAGTGTCGAAGTCCAGAGGGAGAGATAGCATCTGGCCAGCAGGCTCTGGGTGGCATGCTTCTACATAGCTGCCAGCAAGTTTGCTTCAAATTGTTAGGGAGTTTGGATACTGAGCACAAACTAAAATGTTGGAGCTGGATAGATGGCTTAGCAGTTTAAGAGTGCATACTGCTCTTGCACAGGACTGGAGTTCTGTTCACAGCATCTGTGTCAGGTAGTTCACAACCACCTGTATTTCCAGTTCCAGGAGGATCCAAATCCAACTCTTCAGGCACCTGTACTCACTTGTACATACTCACCTACACATAAACTTAATTAAAAATAAATCTTAAAAAATGTTAACTATAATTGATGCCATTTTTTGAAACGTTGGCTGTCCTGTAACTTACTGTATAAACCAGGCTGGCCTTGAATTCAAAGAGATTCACCTGGCTCTGCCTCCCAAGTGCTGTAGATGACTTAAAAAATATTTATTTTTATTTTGTGTGTATGCGTGTATTGCCTGCATGTAGGTAAGTGCACCCATGTCATGCAATGCCCGAGGAGGTCAGAAGAGGCTGTAGGATCCCTTGGGACTGGAGCTATGGACAGTTGTTAGTTGCCATGTGGGTGCTGAGATTTGAACCCGGGTCTTCTGCAAGAACAACCAGTGTTCCTAACCTCTGAGCCATTTCTCTAGATCCTGTAGATGACTTTTTAAAGACAAAGTCTTGCTATGTAGCACAGGCTGCCCCTGAACTCTAGATCTTCTTACCTTAGCTTCTGAAATGCTAGCATTACAAGCATGAGCCACCATGTCAAGTTTATTAACATTTCTTGAACAGTAAATATGTTTAGGCTGTCTGTCTGGCTACATACATTAGTCTTTAAAACAATGCTGTAAGTTAGAAACTATTAATATCTTCATTTAGAGCGAGTGAGTTTGAAACAGGGTATCTTGTAGCCCACGCTGTCCTAGAACTCAGTATGTATCTGAGAATAGTCTTGAAATCCTGATCCTCCTGCCTCTACCACCCAAGTGCTGAGATTATAGGTGTGTGCTACCATGTCCAGTTAGTATCCTTCTTTAAAAGTCACATCTCTATCTATCTATCTATCTATCTATCTATCTATCTATCTATCTATCTATGAGGTATGTTTTGGTGCACAAGTGGAGGCCAGAGGACAACTGTAAGATCAAGGCCAGTCTGGTGAACATAGCAAATTCCAGACCAGCTGGGGCTGCAGAGAAATCTTGTCTAAAAAAAACCCCCAAAGCTTATGTTTAAGTGCACTTACACACATGCAAACAAAATATTCATACACATAAAATAATAAATAATTAAATACAGTGTTTGAAAGCTCAAGTTTGCTGTTGACTACTATGTTCCAACATGGTCAAAAATGGCCCCAAATAAGGCTGTAAACAATCTAGAAGAAAACAGGTGAACATGCTTCTGATATTGAAAGTAGGGAAAGTCTTTTTAAGCATAAAAGTAAATGATGACACAATGAAGGATGAGATAAATAGATTGACCTATATTGGGTTGGAGAGACGGCTCAGTGGTTAAGAGCATTGGCTGTTCTTGCAGAGAACCCAGGTTCGATTCCCAGTACCCACATGCCAGCTAACAACTGTCTTTAACTCCAGTTCAAGAGGCTCTGACGCCCTCTTCTGACCTCTGCAGGCATTGCACAACACAGGTGCACTTACATTCAGGCAATATACATAAAAATAAAAATAATAAATATTTTAAATAGATTTGGGTATATAAAAATGAAACAATAAGCCTGGCGTGGTGGTGCACACCTTTAATTCTAGCACTTGGGAGGCAGAGGCAGGCATATCTCTGTGAGTTTGAGGCC